ATATGGTCAATGATGGAGGTAGACTGATTGCGTCTTTTAAAACATTCAAAACATAATAGGCATCAACAAAATTTTGGAGAAAAAAAAATCGGAAATTCTTTTTTTTTTTTTTTGGGGGGGGGGGGGGGGGCTATTTGTAAAACGAACACCGTAATGACCTTGACCTTCCGGTATTTAGGATGTTTTCCGGTATTTAGTGTTTTTCCGTTATTCAGTATAAAATGGTGTTTTCCGTTTTTTTTCCGGTTGTTTTCCGGTGTTTTAAGGTATATAGTATTGCCGCCTCATACCACACTCTATGGCGTATTCCCGTCTTCATTAGCCCAGTTTAGGAGCAGAACAGTAGGACGTTAAACCCCATTTCATTTCATTTCTTGGAAAGGCGGGGCCAAAAATTAGCCAAAGGGACGACATTATAGACACATTAGGCAAACAACAAAATGGTCACAAATCTATGGAAGAAATCTCTTTTGTCAACCTGAATGGGTTGTATTGTGTGCCCATTAGGTAATGTTAAAGGATTTATCACTGAACCGTGAAGTCATAAAACTGTTTCGGTGAGTCATTATCAACAGTTTTGCACTAATAAAGTATTGTCTTACACCAGTGGTTCTCAACCTTTTCTTGCCAACTGCACACCTTGGAACACATGAAAAAAATAGCCGCACACCTGGCTAAATATATATGAAATATATATGAATTTTGCAAAATAAAAACATAGCAAGTCATAGACGGCATACAACCAGTGGCGGATTAAGCTCCACCAAGGCCTGAGGCGGCAGTTGCTGGAGGGCCTATTTAGTTTTTAAAGTTAGAGCCAAGGTAGTTATAATATTATTAAAATATTAGTTATAACTATTGAAATTTGTCGTACAAAATGCTTTGACAGCAGAAACGTCACCGGAAACCAACTGTACATACACCTATTTTCAAGGATAATATTTCCTCATGATGGGTGTTTACAACGAAACTAGCGCAAGATCTTTTGCTAGATATTTTTTCTTAAGCCAAAGTCGTTTGATATTGGTAATGTAACTTTATATGCCCATAAATGACGTCATGTGGATACAATATATTAAGCAAGACATAACCGAAAACTTACAAGGATTTAACGTACATTGTAGGCCTAAGTTTAAAAAATAAGATCAGATCTCCAAACAATAGGGCCTATTTAAAATGGCCTGGGCCTAATTAATTTCGGGTGAGGGCCTTTGTTGATTCCCGTTGGGCCTAAACCCCACCCCCTAACATTCATTGTCCATGCGTTTTTAATCGTATCAAACAAGTCTAAAAATTTTTTTTTTACAAAATCTTTGGGCCTGAGGCTGCAGCCTCATCAGCCTCACTGATAATCCGCTACTGCATACAACGGTAGACAGAGACTATAAGTCATAGTCACATAGAATGACTCGAACTAAATAAAGAAACACACTGCTATGAACTTATCTAGACACCAGTGAATACTCGTTGGGATCACTAGCGTTGCCAAAGGGTTTTTAAATACACAAAATGTCTCTAATATGATTATTGCACTGCAAGCGTCAACTATTTAGATTCAATAATCTGAAAGAATTTTGAAAAAATATTGAAAATTAAAAAAGTTATGGCATTTTGAAGACCGCGAATTGGAGGCACCAAAATACGGCTTTTTTTTAAAAACGTAAAAAACCTGACCGAAGCTAATATCTCAGACACTATAATAGGTAGATCCACGAAACTTGCAGAATTTGAAGTTCAAGATGTACTGGATTGAATCAAATTATCGGGAGACTCTTCGGTTATATAGTGTGTATGCTACAGACTCTCAAACTTACGACCGAGACAATTTTCGTTCAAGGTCACAGCAAAAAAATGATGTGATAGTTAATAACAAACCATGTAGAAGTCCCAGGGCTTTGAAATATTTACCCAACCCGTTTTTTGATGTGATAGATACACAAATAATGTTTTCACATTGTTATCGTGTTTTTTTATTAGGCATCAGCTACTCGAATTGCATTTTTTGACTATACCATGTCAAGGTCATACAGAAAGTGTAAGGTCACGGGTCAACTGTAGGTCTAGAGAGAGAGAGAAATGGGGTTTAACGTCCACTCGACACAAACTAGGTCATTTCGGGACTAACATATGGTTTAATTTTATTTCAATAATTCGCTTGCGCGTAGGGGTCTTTAGCAGTGGGAGGAAACCGGAGGACCCGGAGAAAACCCACGAGGTTGGACAGGCGACCCTACTCCTTGTCACGTACAACCGGGAATTCGAAACCACGCCAGTCGACTCAATGACAGACTTTATGATACAGCGCGCGCACGCTAACCATTCAGCCATCCAACCCCCCTGTAGGTCTAGAGGCTATTAAAATATTCACAGTCTTTTCCTGGATACATACACATGCAAAACACACAGACAGCGTTCATTTTTTACCTGACAAAAATAGTTGTTTCAGGAATGGAAAATCACAAGTATTATGATCAATAAAAATATCTTTATTTCAATTAACAAAATCAATAAAACTTAAAATCAACAAAAATAAATAAATAACAGAATTTTTTTGGGTGAAAACATATGACCTAAATCTAAAAATAACAGAAAACAAAACTATGTATCATGATCAACATCAATCATATGAAAACTACCAACTACAAAACCAAAAATATAAAACTTAAAAAAATTAACAATATATGATATAATCACAGGGATTACACATGACAAAATAATTTCTTTTTTGGCATGACTGGACGTCATCAAAGTCATATGCAAATACAAAAAGTTACATGTATAAGTAATCGAATGTTATGACATTATTAAAGAAAGAATCACCCCTTCTCTATAAATAACAAATATCTCTGGTTATAAAATTTAAAAAAAAAAGATGTACAACAATGAGTAAAAAATTGCATACAGTGATAAAAAATATCAATGCTAAAGGCACATGGCTAATAAATAGATATATTCTTAAATAGATATATTCTTAACAAACCTAATAAAACTTTTTGGCATACATGGCTGGACGTCATCGAAGTCATATACAAACAAATATACATAATTGTATGTAATGATACATTATTAAACAAATATCTATGGTTATAAATTATTAAGAAAAAATAAATCCACAAAATGCTAGCTTGCAACAATGAGTAACAATATCTTTTTTAATATCCCATAAACAGATAAATATATCAATGCTAAAGCATACATTGTAAAAAAAATAGCAGAAAACAAAACTGAATCATGATCAACATCAATCATATGAAAACTACCAACTACAAAACAAAACTAAAACTTTAAGAAATTAACAATATATACTATTCAAAAAAAGTAGGGGATATTTGATTTTTAAGTGTTATTAAAGTCACCTAATGAAACTGTCGAAGAAACAAATGACAAAATGAAATGAAGTTCACATTCATCGATTTATTGCAAATGATCGTTAGACTAAGTAAGGCACAGGCTGACCATTATAAGGGTAAAATGATACCCGGGGTCAAACAGCAAAGTTACCACAGCATCACAACCAAGTCAGTAACGGGTAAATCCTCCTCTGTTTGCCAAACAAGCATTGATCCGACGTGGCATACTCCTAATGAGACGTCTAAGGTCATTTTGGTCCAGATTGTCCCATTCCTGTTGCAACGCAGCAGCAAGTTCTTGGACATTGGCAGGACGTTGTTGACGTTGACGTAACCTCTGTCCAAGCATGTCCCAGACATGCTCGATGGGGGAGAGGTCGGGACTCAGTGCTGGCCAAGGTAATGTGGTGATGTTCTGTTGTTGGAGGTAACCTGTAACGATCCTGGCCCTGTGACATCTTGCGTTGTCATCCTGGAAGATGAAACGGCGGCCATGACGTCGTGCAAACGGCACAACATGGACTGCCAAGATGTTGTCCCGGTAGTACTGGCCTGTAACACGCCCTGGAACAACATGTAAAGCCGTTCTTCCAGCAACAGTGATGCCTCCCCACACCATAACAGAACCACCCCCAAATCGATCATGTCTGATGACGTTAACGTCTTGGAAGCGCTCGTTTCGACGACGCCACACCCTCCTACGTCTGTCCAAAAAATCAACAGTGAACCTTGACTCATCTGAAAACATCACATTGCTCCAGCGTCGATTATCCCAGTGTTGACGATCCCTACACCAAACAAGGGATCACGCGAGGACGTCGGGCGCGAAGGTGACCCCTATGCAGTCGATTCCGAATCGTATGGCCACTCACTCTCACACCAGTGTCTGTTTGAAGACGAGCGCTGATCTGATTTGCTGTGATGACACGATTTCTCAAGGCCAAGGTACGGATAAATCGATCCTGGGCTTGAGTTGTCGCCCTTGGTCGACCTGAGCGTGGTCTGTCCTGTACAGATTGTGTATCACGGTATCTGGACCATAGCCTGCTTATGACAGACTGAGAAACATTCATCGTCCGCGCCACAACCGCCTGTGTTGTGCCGATCTGTAGCATGCCAAGGGCACGTAACCTTTCATTTTGGGTAAGCCGACGCATATCAAAATTTGTTTTCTGTTCACTAAAACAATTAAACTGATGTTTCCACCCTGGAATTCAATGCCACAATGACTGTAACATTCAAAGTCAGAGTCGTGCAAATCTTGGGTTGGACCCCCATGATGATCCCAAGCATCACCTGCATTCCATGCGGTAGCTATTGGTGCGTTTGGGCGTCACATGTAACTGGAAATGTTTCTTCTGTTAGGTTCTATAGTGACTTTTTTCGTAGTCATTTGCATATTTTAGTATTATGCCCCCAAAATCAAATATCCCCTACTTTTTTTGAATAGTATATGATATAATCACAGGGATCACACATGACAAAATAATTTACCAACTACAAAACAAAACTTTAAAAAATCACAGCATTTACACATGACAAAATAATTTCTTTTTTGGCATGGCTGGACGTCATCAAAGTCATATGCAAATACAAAAAAATATAGGTATATAATAAATCATTGTTAAACAAACAAAGAATCACCCGTTCTCTTCTAAAAATAATAAATATCTCTGATTATAACATTATCAAAAATCACATACAATGATAAAAAATATCAATCTTAATGCAAGAATAGTAAAATTACATGTAGTAACTCAAATGCCTTCTGAAAATACAAAAAGTATTATACTTTAAAATGTTTAAGCATTTTCCTGAGAAACTGACAGTTTTAAGTCCCCCCTCTTATAATCCTCATGCAAATTGTATGAGTAAATAGCATCATCATTATCAAATTTAACATTGTACCATTGAGGGAAGCCTGGAACAACATTGATCACATAACCGGGATATTCTTGTCCATCTGCAAATTTGTGTAAAATCCTTTTATCTACTAATAAAGGCACATCATAGGCAGAAACTTCTGACTTAGAACCGGCATCGAAGGCAGTTTTAACTAATTCACATAAATTGTCTCTTAGTTCTTTTACTGATAATTTACGATATTTGCCACCTGGTTCTTTCTTTGATAAATTGAAAATTTGTTTGTCGGAATGCTTCTGATGGAGTACTGATTTACGAAACTTTAATTGAGTCTGAAGAGCACATCTTAATTCTTTATCATTACCACTTAACTTGTCCATTCCTTCTTTAATCTGATCCACTGTCTGCCATAAACCATAATAACACACATCATTTGTCATACACTCTGCTCGCTGAATCCTACTTGCTTCCAACCTCTCCATCTCTTGTTTTTTGAGCTTTTGTAACCGGAAACGCTCATCACTTATGGATTTTGTTCTTGAAATGAATTCTTTCCTTATTTCTCTTCCTTCTTTTCTGGATTCATCTAGAAGCCTGTTTTTTTCATCCTCGCTAAGTTCTCTCAACCATGTAGATGTTTTGTTGAAACTGAACATAATGTATGCTTCATTTGCAAGTAAGGATGCATTAGGTCTGTAGGATATTAGATGGTCTAACTGTCCAAATACGAATTCAGGAAGTTTATTATGCTTTTTTGCTGAGGAAACTTCTTCCAGTAAAGATTCATCTGGATTCCAAAATTTGCCTCCTGGCAAGTGTTCTGGCACCATTCTAAGTAACAGTTCTTTTATGGCTGTAAATAATGACTGCAATAGTGGGCCTAAGATTACATCAACTTCTTCATTGGGTATTAACGAGCATCTTGAGATTTTATCATTATCATCAATACTGGTATTTTCAAACGGGGTACATTCACCATTCATAAATTTCAAAGTGAAATCAATATCACTACTCGCTTTATCCAAAAATGTCACTAGGGCATAGTACTGTTCATTCATATCTAAAATGTGTCCAGGTGCTTCGATAATTCTCCAAAGTGGGGCTGTTACAAATTTAGATATCAGTCTGAGTGCTTTGCATCCAGATAAGTAGAGCTTTTCCTGAATGTCCAAATGTACTGCTTTAAGTAAGGTGTTTGTAAAACCATGCTCTTTGTCAAGAAATATAAAAATATCTTCCTTGTGGTAATAGACGGCTTGACCCATCATGAATATCATATTGAATCTGTTATGTTTGAATCTTAAAATTTGGTTTTTTTCTTTCTTTTGACTTAAATATGTATTAAAAGGCAAATACACTCCATTTTTTTCATCTTCTCCTCTTGCAAACGATTTACTACAAGAGCGGAGTAGTCTTAATGTGCCACTCTCTGCCTTATGGAATCGCTTCAGTTCAGGCTTGACAGAAGATCCTATTTCCTTGCCATCTAAGAAGCCAGTTTCATATTTCTTCATTCCAGCCTCACATACATCAGCCATCCCACAAAGAAGATGCAATCCGCAGAAGAAATTGTTAATTTTCCCACAGTGAGATTTTTCCTCGACTAAAAGTTCATTATAATTATCTATAACCTTTGGCAAGACCTCTTCTTTGTAGCTCTCTAGCAAGGTATTGAATGCTTTTTCTGTGCTGGCTCTATCAGACATGGTATTTGCTATATTGCATAATAGTTCATACCCAACACTAAAGTTTTTTGCCTCGGATAGCTCCTTACAATGAGTTGAGATGTCAAATAGGATTTCTTTCAACACATCCAATGTACATTGTGCACTTTTGTTCACCATTTCTCTAAGGCCCAAAAGATAAGAATTCTGACTCTTATCGGTTAAAATGTAGGTTTGATAAGTATGTCCATGCTTCCTTGTTTCATCAGTGTAAAGGGTGGTATCTTTTTCTTTCGCTATAGTTTGTGATACCTGCTTTTGTGACATTGACACTTTTCTATCCACAATATTGTCAACAGTCTGGCGGGATGGAAGACGGTTCACTCGTTTTCCCAAAAGTGTAGTCACTTCCTGTATAACAGGCCCAACATTTTTTGTTGCGATCTTTAAGTTAGTAAGATTCATCACACATTCAATTAATCTATTTGAATAAATATTTATTGAAGGATCACAAACAATAATTTCATCAGTATCGTTTATCAATCCTTGCAAATACTCTACACTTTTTTCTAATTCCTTGTTTTGCTGTTGTAGAATGATATATTCTTCCTCCAAAACTTTATGTTCACGAGATCTTTCTTCAAGCACTACATTAACACCATCGATATGTTTTTTCAGGGTTTTAACATAATTATTTAACTGTCTAAAGCTAAAAATGTCTTGACTGTGCTTTTGCCTTTTCTTTTCGAGAATCTCAGTCTTTTGTTTCAATGACTCCTCTGATTTCTTTAACTTCTGTTGAGTTGATTCAGTAATTTTTTCTAGTTTTCGAGTCTTTGCAGCTACTTTCTTCTCTAAGGAGTCCTCCCTACGTGTAACTTTTCTTTTAAGCATTCTGTTTGCTTCTTTTATGTTTCGCAGTTCCTCTATCTTACTCTCTGAAACATCTTTTGACTGTTTTAACTCTGTCGTTGATTCTGTAGTGCTTAATGTTGGAACAGAAGACGGAAAATGAAATATTTGATTCCTATATGAATCTCGAACTTCAGCTCGCTTTTTCTTATCTGCGTCAATCATCCTGTAAACCTTAGATCTACACGCAGTAATATTGGCGTCTTTAACATCACAAATTTCACACATAGTAAATATAAGCTTTAAGATAAATGAGATACACATTTTCATTTTGCTCATGCCAAGTCAGTCTTATTTCAATATTTGGGGATATATTTTTCTCAAAAGTCCATTTTTTTTACAAGTAATGTTATTAAATTTGCAAAAACATCTAAATAGTTCACACTTAAGTTTGCACAAGTTGGGTTAAAAAAAAAAAAATCATTCATTGTGGTCTGATCCCATACACGCACCTACCAAGAGTTGTCTTTCCCTGATTCTTCCCCGGTTCTACTTTCCGGGGGATTTTGGCAAAACAAAAGCTCAAACTATACAAAATATATACCAGGCTATCCAAAAATGTCGATATCTCGAGCGGAATGCTCTTTTTTTCAAAGTTTCTATTACATTTAAAAACAAGCCAACAGTGAGGCTGATGTCCCCCGCCGAAATAGGAAAATAATTAGAGGACACATATAAATTTATCACAAATTATCTTTTACAAAGTATTGAACAATCAAACAGTATATCTTTACTTATAGTCTAAGCATACAATGTTTTTGATGGAATAATTATAGCATATTAAGGGGAAAACATGCTCTATGCCTACAGATCTAGAGTTTGGTTGTATCAACGGGTCTATTTTCCATCTTGCTGCAAGTTGTGCAAAGTTCACTGTTTTCTTTCTGTCATTAAATGTCAATTCATTATTGCATACTACATATTTAATTAATTTATAATAGTTTCTTTTTCAATTTGTTTTTTCCATTTATTTGTTTATTTACCTTGCCTATATTCATTGTATTGGATTGTATTGGAATTGCTTCGAAAGGCGGGGGACAATTAAAAACAAGAAAAATAAGCGAAAATTCGATCAAAATCTTACCTGCTATGGCAGTCCGCTAACTTCAGCTCACCAGGTTCCGGAAAAGTGCCACGTGACCACGTTTTGACTTCCTGAATATTCATGAGACCCCGTAGTAGAAACGGTACATTTTTCGGTCACGCTTTTTAGCACACCACGTGTTTTTTCGCATTTTCTTAGCGTGTCGTTCAAAATTTCACGGGTTTACACATTTGGAGATCAAAATAAAATACAAACGATGTTTAATCTTACCTAACGTCGTTCTTTTTGGCATTATCTTTACCTTGAACTGAGATTCATCAGAACTGTTCTAAGCGTACTTTCGCTTTAAATCGAGGCTTCCAAATACAGTGCTTCCGCTTTAAATTGAGGTTTGGACACAGATCACCAAATATTCCTACGCCGTCACCCCACCAAATATTCCTACGCCGTCACCACGAAACAAGGGCCAAAGCTATTTTTAGTCTTCCTCTCCCTTTTCCTTTTTCCCCCTTTTGCATGGCGATTTTTGTTGACTTTTTGGTGTAGAATTGAGGAAAAGGGTTTGAAAATACATTTTCTGCCAGGTTTTGGTGAATATTCATAATTTTGATGCGGAAGGATACAAGAGTTGAGAGGTTGGTTACGTTGAAATGTAGGGCCTGAAATTGCATGTTTACTTGTCTCCACTTCCAGCTTGTGTATCTCAAGTTTTTCATGAAGAACCCCATACGTGCTTTTGGGCAAGTGGTTGCCACATGTTGCTCCATCTGTGGTTGAAAGCGTTCTACCCAACGAAAATTTGGGAAAAAGTTAGAGCCGGTCTAAGATACGAGAATTAACATTGGAGTCAATGGGGAAATCTTTAGTGATCTGTGTCCATCTGCTTGTGCTTGTTATTACTTGCACTTTTTACATTGTATCGTACTACTAGGCTATAATATAGCGCTATTATAGACGTTATTGAACATGAGTATGACTATGCTAATTTTGTGACAACGTTTGGCGCGAAACAATAGTAGCTAGCACTGACAGGCAGGGAGCCGTACGTGACTAACGTACGCAATTAATTGGTGGCTAGCTTTTTTTTCGCACGTTTACAGTGAATGGCCATTTTGCTCAGTAATCCCAGCCAGAATTTGGCTATTTTCTAAATTTGCGTTAAAGTTTAAAATATTTGTTTTAGAACTGAAACACATTAACTATTAGTCAATCCCAACGCTAAAAACATCAACAGAATTGATTGTGTATATCTGAAATACGCCCGACCGACGCACAAAATAGTGCAATATGGCGGCCTCTATGAACAATTCTCGTAGACGCTGTCATTGAAGACAACGTCAATTCTATGAGTTGTAGGTGTTATTTTTGTGAAAAATCATTGGAAGAAGAGAGAACATGTTGGGACTGTACGAATTATATAGTCTTTATGGGTGCAACGGACACAATGCTGAAGATAATCCTATTGTTTACAATGTTACGAGTTGTTGACCATTGACGTCAATGTCAAGACCTGTGATGTGTAGATCACGTGATATTGATATCATGGCTATTGACTGTGTCTGAGATACTTCTCTGCAGGAAGGGTGTATCAGATGTTCAGAATGGCAGGGAGCGTGCGGGGGGGGGGGGGGCTAGGAAGCTAGGAAACTTGTCCAGGGGCCTGGAGCCTAGAGGGGCCCGGAGGTATGCCGCGTAATGTTTTAGAAAATGAATATTGGTATAAATTTACAATAAAAAAAAAATACATTGTTACTCTCGTCACCATCAGGGTAGGCCTATCCGGACCCTGTAGGTAAACAAGGCCTATTCCGGGTTACAACGATGGTGAATGCACCATATGATAAGAAACATTACCTCTCAACCCTATGTGTTTCGAGATAAGAGATGGTGCTATATAGTTTCTTGTAGCAAACCCCAACGCTCTTCCCATCGGGATTCAAGTAAGCAAAATTGGCAATTTTTTCTTCAAAACAAAGATTTATTATTGTTATTTACAACATTTCTGCCACATCCAACTACAATTAAGCATAAAATCCTACCTGATATGGGTACAAATCCCCCCTTTTTAAATCGAAAAGATAATATAGATTGCTTTCTCCGACAGTTTAAAATAAACGCCTTTACACATAAAGTCAAAGTACTAACCCGATCCGAGTTGCGCAGGAGTAATACACCGTAATTATGAATGTCCGTATCAATTTTGATTAAAACAACGCTTGATTTACTTTATTGACAATATTTGCTGATAAATGAAAGTTGTTTCAGTAGATTAGGCTGCGTAATAGTATGTGTAATAACTTCTAATAGTATAAAATTATCTTTTTTTTAAGATATTACATGCATTAGTTATTAATAAAGAAATTAAGTTTACCAGCTGAAACTAAAGGCACCCAATCGTAGCTGAAAACAAGCACGTCAGTATATCTCAACGTTTTTAGCTACGTTCTCGTAGCTAAGCGCATCAGTGTCGCGCTCTGCCGCCAGAGATTATTAAAAACGAAAATGAAGCCCAAACTTTTAACTTTGTTTCGTTAGGCGCTAAAATTTCGATATTTTTGCCAATAGCGGACCATTTTCCGACCAATGACAGCGTGATTCGTCACTAATATCTCCAGAAGAAGCTTGTATTTTGCGTATTGAAAAAAATAAACGAATAGTTTATGCGATGAAAAAACTTTCTTTTTCATATTTTGGTGTCTGGTGGTCATGGTTTTTGTTTTCCCATTTGTTTGCCTTGCTTAAAATTTTCTGTAAAAATCGTATACATCTGATTATTATTACATCAGTAAAACGAAAACGTTGTGCTAAATCTCAGTTTCCGTGTTTTAACAAAGTGGCATGTTACTAGTTGACCGACATTTTAAATCCTAAATCGACGATTTTAGTCGAAAACACCTAGTATTCTTCTAGAGTTTTGTAAAAGGAGCTAAATCGCTAATATCTGGGACCTAGAAATTGACACAAATGGGTCGCAATGCATACAATAATGTAATATGAATGTATATAAACTGATTTACATTCAATCGTTTCTATTTTTACTGTAATTTCTAATCAGTTATGTTCGGCGAAATGCGCCAAAGTCTCAATTAAATGACAATCTTTAGCGTCTGGTTATTCCAGTCTACACCGATGGTATTTATTGCGCATGCTCTCCAGATAAGAATATAGCGTCACCATTTGACATGATTTGTGGAATATGTCTAGCCTCGTTCTTTGAGACGCATTATGGTACACGATTCATGTACCAATGGTAAAATGTTTATTTTGTCTTGAATATTGGATATCAGAAGCCCATCTTTTCCCTGTAAGATCACAAGAACAATGTTGATTTAAATTGACAAATAATTCGTGTTTTCAATGTCGAAAATTTTTGACGATATTGAGTTAGAGACTTAGCTACTTTAAGTACATATTCTGCTTCCATTTAATAAAACTGAAAAAGTCCATTTAGTCTTTGTGCGTATGACAGATGTAGAATCGGAGTAGAAACGCATTACAAAACAATATACTAATGTTTTGATATGGCGGCCATTTAAGGCATCTATTCTCGAGGAATAAAGTAGATGGATCCCTGTGCGCAGAATGATGTTACCCCAGATATATGCCAAAATGACCGTAATGATATACGCTCCAGCTTGTTTTTCTACGGAAGCGTGTAGGGGTCATGCAGATTTTTTTTCCAGAACCCTCGCAATCCTGTCATTATTATTATTATTACAGCATATTTATAGTGCACCCTTTCATATAACATGTTCAGGGGCACTTTACAAAGTGACAATGTAAATCACACATAAACAACAAGATTATGGGCATGTTAACGATTTTATGTGGTACATTCTCGAGATTCAAATTTAATGTCCTCGAGTTCCCCTAATAATTTTCTCGAGATTATGACATCCTGTGTATTTTTATACTCCCAATTTGCAGCGCTCGTCTTCGTTTTGGAGTTACCCCCGACCCCACCCTTTCCGGAAATCTTGTTAACACAATACAGTTTTTAACTGATTTTGTTTTTAAAATGTGGTGTGAAGCACTGGGACCTATCGATTTTCAGTTCTCCGCAAATGTCTGTTCCAGAGTTACCCTCCTTATCCGTAAACGTTGTTGACGCGATTGAGGTTACAGTTTTTAACAGATTTTTTTTCCTTCAAATATG